AACATTTTTGGCAAATATAAAATCAAGTTATTGTTCAAGACAAATTAAGTTTGTTTTGTCAGCAGCTTAGTTATGCAACATTAATAGAACTATGATTTTGAAATTAGCAACCATAATGGAAAGTATACAAACGTCCAAGGCATAAATGGTAAAAAGTGCACTCGCAACAACGGCATCTAGCGACATGCGGCAACTCAGCATGTCTGCATGGCCGTCGCAACAACGACATCTAGCGACATGCGGTGACTTAGCATGTCTGCATGGCCGTTGAAGGGTGGAACCGTTGATCCATCCATGCACCCAATCTCAATCTCGTCTGAGTTACCATTTTCGCGCATGCGGAGGAAGGAAGCTATAGCATTTTGACTGTTATAAATAGAAATGGAGGCCATTTCCTGCAATTTCAGCCTTCTGTCTTTCCTAAATATACAACTTACACATAATAGCTTAAGAGACTCCAACACCAAGTTGAAAGAAAAGAAATGGCACATTTAACCATGATTTAACTTCAAGATCAAGGTGTTGGGACTCTTCTAGCTTATTACTATAATTGGAAACTCAATTTGTATGTGGTTGTCATTATGCATTTATTTGCTGGTAAATGTGTAACATTATAACAAGACAGGTAACAGCATCTTATAGAAGTCACAAGAGGATACATCTCCTTTATTTGTAGTTCTGCACCAAGCAGTGCAGCACTTGTATACACTACTAGAACAGTCTTCACTATAGCAGGGTTCTCCCCAGGATTTGAGAGGCATGGCCCCCCCTCCAGAGGGGGAAGCTGAAGCATTTTTCTTTATCTAAATACAAATGGAAGCCATTTCCTGCAACTTCAGGTTTTGAACTGCCAGAAAAAAATGTTAACATACAGGAAAAAATTGGGCATAGGTTCCACGCTCTGACCCCTAACCGGGGGCCAACGGTGCCTTCAAGTTCGACAATTGAAACAGAATATGACATTAAGTCATACATTTTCCACTTGGAACTTGAGGCAAGCAATTATTGGAAAATGTAGAGAAGCTGGGACAAAACCTTATCCTAATGCTAATCCTTATGTTATCACCAACTTGTAAACAAGTCCCTTATAATTATCAAAGTACCATCAAGAGTGCCATCAAAACAAAATTTCACTTCTCTAACATTAAATAATCGGTCCCATGTTTAGGACTAACAAAGTTACACATTCAAGAAAATACTTTTGAATTTAAAAAAAAAGAAGAAAGAAAAAAAAA